TATTGTGAATTTCACATTGTTGGATGCTGAATTTTTATTTGTTTTTGTCTTCCTTTAAATATTTTTGTGTTAAATATTTAAATATCCTTTAAGTATTTTGACACTTAAATTTAAGTGACTTGGAAACAGTTTGAGCCTTCTGAGGCATGCATGTAAACTTTGATAGGCAAGTGCAGAGCAACTTTTAATCTAAGGCTAATTTGGCCTCCCCTTTCTGAATCAATGTGAGGCCCCACATATCGCCACATTCAAGGAGTGTGAGCTATTTCCATTCCTGTGTGATTGCCAGTCACCACTCCATTCAGGTGTCTTTCCCTGGTCAAAGATAGTTTCCTCACACATGTGAGCTGACAGGTACTCAGCTGAAGACTCAAGAGGAAGCCCCTGCAGAGCTCCAGAACTAGCTGCCTTTGTGCAGCTCTTTCCTACCCGGTAATCTACTCTACGAGTTCAAAATGTAACAGGCACAGTTATCAACAGTTGTTGAGTGCCTGTTACTTGTAAATTCAGGACTCAGCCTCTCCGAATTCTCAGCTTCATCTCTTCTTTCAAAGATCATCATCCCATGTTGCATGTTGCCCAACATCTGAAAACTGTTTTGTATATGTTATTTCGTTTTCAGCTGCTTAAGATACAGAGTAAATCAGGCCCATGGTATTCCAGCAAGACCACAAAAGAAGTTGCAGTTTTAGTTTTTAAATAGGGGCTGGGAAGCTATGTTTAACCAATTTTGTGTCAGAAAAAGAAGCCGGAGTATGATCATGGCCCAGTTATTTATCTTCTTAGTCTTGCTATCTTTATTTATAAAATGAAGAGGTAAGTCTATATGATTATAAAGTTCTTCTCTGCCTCTTAAATTCTGTGATTTTGTAAGTAAGCACAGGGGTATCTTTATAGAGAAATTGCTATATCTTCCCAAAGTGATAGATTAAAGTTTCAGCAGTATGGAACTCCCATTTTGCCATAGTCGAGCAAATTTAGGAGAGAAGATGTGTGTTTTAATAGATAAAGAAGGAGTCTTTAGTTAAAAACTTGAAATGGGCAATACCAATCCCTCAGTAGACACATGAAAAATGACCAAACAATCTGAAGATGAGGAAATGTGTAGGAATATTCTTTGTTTCATTACTGGGCCTAGGCAAACTCTATTAGACATAGTAAGTGTTCAGTACGTATATGTTGACTGTCTCAGTGGTACATGGATTCATTTTCCTAATAAAGAAAACTAATTGAAAAAGCTTCTACTATACCAAAAGTAAAAATCCATCAATATCAGATTTGCTAGTGGTACATCCACATAATGGAATATTGTGCAGCAGTCAAACATACTGCAGCTGAGCTGTATGCACTAATATGAAATAGTCTCAAATAAAAATTGTTAAATTTTGTTAAATAAACAAAACAAGATCACTACATTGTATATATATAAATGAATATGTTGAAAATATATAAATGTATGTATGCTCATATAAATGAATACACACACACACATATATATTTGAGACAGGGGCTTGCTCTGTCACCTAGGCTGGAGTGTAGTGGCATGATTCTACCTCCCCGTTGCCTTGGGCTTAAGTGATCCTCCTGCCTTGGTCTCCCAAAGTGCTAGGATTCCAGGTGAAAGCCACTGTGTCTGGTATACTATATATATATATAATATTTTTTATTTTTTTAAATTTTCTTTTTGAGACAGGGTCTCATTCTGTCACCCAGGTTGGTGTGAAGTGGTGTGATCATGGCTCACTGCAGCCTAAACCTCCTATGGCTCACGTGATCCCCCCACCTCAGCTTCCTAAGTAGCTGGGACCACAAGTGTGTACCACCACACCCGGCTAATTTTTGTTTTTTTTTTCAGACAGAGTCTCACTGTTGCCTAGGCTGGATTGCCTCAGCCTCCTGAGTAGCTGGGATTACAGACATATGCCAACATGCCCAGCTAATATTTTTGTATTTTTAGTAGAGATGGGGTTTCACCTTATTGGCCAGGCTGCTGTTGAACTCCTAACCACAAGTGAGCCACCCACTTTGGCCTCCTAAATTGCTAGGTTTATAGGCGTGAACCACTGTGCCTGGCCCCGGCTAATTTTTGTATTTTTAGTAGAGATGGGGTTTCACCATGTTGCCTAGACTGGTCTGAAACACCTGAGCTCAAGTGATCCACCCATCTTAGCCTTCCAAAGTGCTGGGATTACAGGTGTGAGCCACCATGCTCAGCCATGGCATACTATATGTGCTTTTGTTCTCTTTAATTTATGTAATGATTTGGTAAAAAAAAAAGATTTAAAAAGGAAAAAGCAATGTGTATAATAGTATATACATACTATATATATAGATATGTTTAAAAATAACATATAAGTACATGCTTTTAATTAAGAAAATACATCTAGAAGGATATACAAATTGGTGAGACTGATGCCTCCGGGGAGGAGGACTGGGGGGTTAGAGTAAAAGAGAGAATCACCCTTCCTTTTATGGCTTTTTATATGACTTTTGAATTTTTTATCATGTGCATGTTGTCTAGTTTTCAAAAAAATGCATCTGCTGGATATATATAAATAGACTTTTTCAATGAAGTAATTAAAGTTTTCTAAAAGGGTTATATTCCTACTTATCAGTTTGAGAAAATTTCCACATCTCTAGACTAGACCATGTATTTAAAGGAGCCGAACCACATCCACTTTATTTACTACTATTACTCCAGGAAAATACAGGGCACTGCCAAGTCTATGATTAATTTCCTATTCTTTATGAAAAGAATCGCCATACTGGTGATACCTACTGGCACCTGGAACATGGATGTTATGAGGGGAAGAACAAGACCATTTGTTTTTTACGGTAACTATGTACATTTTATACTATTTAATTAATCTCTATAATCTAACCCACCATATTTCTGGCTTCCAGATGGGCTACCAAGAAAGCATAGGTGTGAGAGCTGGACAGTCTCTGATTTACAAGACATTAACTTTTGGCCAGTGTACTACTTTCATATTCTACAGATGATGTATGTGTTTGAAAGAGAATAAAATTACACCCACCCAGTGGAGTTGCTAACTTTTTTTTTTTTTTTTTTTTAATTTTTCGAGATGGAGTTTCATTCTTTTTGCCCAGGCTGGAGTGCAATGGCATGATTGTGGGTCACTGCAGCCTCCGTCTCCTGGGTTCATGTGATTCTCCTGCCTTTGCCTTCCAAGTAGCTGGGATTACAGGCATGTGCCATCATGCCTGGCTAATTTTTTTTTTTTTTTTTTTTGAGTTGGAGTCTGGCTCTGTTGCCCAGGCTGGAGGGCAATGGCCTCAGCCTCAAGAGTAGCTGGGACTGTAGGCAAGTGCCACCATGCCTGGCTAATTTTTGTGTTTTTAGTAGAGACAAAGTTTAACCATATTGGCCAGGCTGGTCTTGAACTCCTGACCTCATGACCCGCCCTCCTCAGCCTCCCAAAGTGGTGGGATTATAGGCATAAGCCCCTGCACCTGGCTAATTTTGTATTTTTAGTAGAGACAGGGTTTCACCATGTGTGGTCAGCTGGTCTCGAACTCCTACCTCAAGTGATTCACCAATGTCAGCCTCCCAAAGTGCTGGTATTATAGGTGTGAGACACTGTGCCTGGCCAGCTTTTTTTTTTTTTTTTTTTTTTGAGATGGAGGTTTGCTCTTGTTGCCCAGGCTGGAATGCAATGGTGCGATCTCGGCTCACTGCAACCTCCTCCTCCTGGATTCAAGCGATTTTCCTGCCTTAGCCTCCTGAGTAGCTGGAACTACAGGCATAAGCAACCACGTCTGGCTAATTTTGTATTTTTACTAGAGACAGGGATTGTCCATTTCGGTCAGCTAGTATCGAACTCCCAACTTCAGGTGATCTGCCTGCCTCGACCTTCCAAAGTGCTGAGATTATAGGCGTGAGCCACTGCACCCAGCTAACTTTTTTGTTCTAGGGAAGAATTACTCCTCTGGCAAGCTAACTTAAAAGAAGGACTTCTAGACATAACCTGTGTTCCTTTGAGTGTCTGATACCCCTCAGGTGATACCCAGCTAAGTATTCCCTAGCAGATATGGGGAAATACTAGGAAACATATGTGCAAGGCCAAAGTTATAAAATCCATGGCTCATTATGCAAGTCAGAAAAAGTGATAAGCCCAAGGTATTTTCTTCTGATTCTTATTTGCTTTAAATTTCTGGTGCTGTTGCTGGTTTTGACTTCCTCAAATGCAATGCAGCAGGTAGGTAGTCAGTTCATGAAAAATGCTTTCAAGATCCAGCCAGCCAATGAAAGAATATGAAGAATAAGATTCCGAATTTCATGGTTTATTTTGTCACATGAGAGGCTAATTATTGTGTATAAATCACTATAATACATGAATAATAATAGGAGGGAAAACTGTTTTCCCTCCATTGCTGTTGAGGGAGAAACATGTTATTTAAAATGGTAGTGTTTTTGGTAGATTATGCATTGGCTGGAAGCATCCTGCTTCTTCCCCTAATCTGAACAATAGATTAAAAAATTAACAAAAAGGGGTCTATTGTTAGGGGTGCCAGATTTAGCAAATAAAAATACAAGATAGCAGTTATATCTGAGTTTTAGAAAACAACAAATGATTTTTTAGCATAAATATGTCCCAGGCTATATACTTGGGACATACTAAAAAATGATTCGCTGTTTATTTGAAAGGCAAATTTAATGAGCATCTTCATTTTATCTGGCAATGTTAGCGGCTACAGAGTAGGATGTATTGTAGGCTATCTTTCCTTGCCTTTTGGTTTCTTTGTGATAAGGTGAGTGATACTGACAACCTCCACACAAGTAGGATGCAACTAGGGGTGAGAACACAGCTGAGTTCTTGCTATGCTGCAGAGCCAGGGTGGAAGAACAGATGTAGAGTGAACTAACTTAGAAACAACTGCAAGATATACCTCCATTTTGCCCCCAGGTATTCAAGATGGAGGTTCCCTTATAATATATAAGATGGAAATTTAGCTCTTTAATTTCAATACTGAAGGGAATGGTGGCCCAAGAAAGTGGAAGGACCCAAAGAGATTCCGTGCTGTGGAAATTGTGGAGTAAGTGATGGTGGAGATTCCATAAACCGAGAGGATGTGAGATGTGGTGCACTTGCTATGTGGAGTCAGGCTGAGGGAGCTCTTTGCCTCATGCCAGCTAGATTCCAGAGCTGGAGAACATGGGTATGAGAAGAAAAGATAGTGACTGGGCTGATAGGTGGATTTTTTCAGTGAATTGTGGAGGATCTTGGAGACCTTGTTAAGGATTTGAGTGTTAATCCATGAAGCCATGAGGCCTTTCTGAGGGTTTCTGAGTAGGAAATGGCATTAGCAGAGCTTTGCTTTAGAACCTGGCAGCTCTTTATAGAGGGACAATAAAGGGGAAATAGAGTGGAGACAGAGTTATCTGTGGGAAGGAACTAGTCAGGGTTACTGCTAGTTTGTATGGCATCAGTATTAGTCTATTCTCACACTGCTAATAAAGACATACCTGGCTAGGCACAGTGGTTCATGCCTGTAATCTCAGCACTTTGGGGAGCTGAGGCAAGTTGATCATGAGGTCGGGAGTTTAAGACCAGCCTGGCCAATATGGTGAAACCCTGTCTCTACCAAAAATACAAAAAAGCTAGCCGGGCATGGTGGCATGTGCCTGTAGTCCCAGCTACTCGGGAGGCTGAGGCAGGAGAATCGCTTGAACCCAGGAAGCGGAGCTGCGTTGAGCTGAGATTGTGCCACTGCACTCCAGCCTGGGCAATAGAGGGAGACTCTGTCTCAAAAAAAAAAAAAAAAAAAAAAAAAAAGACATGTGTTACATGGCAGCGGGCAAGACAGAATGAGAGTCAAGTGAAAGCAGTTCCCCCTTATAAAATCATCAGATTTCATAAGACTTAGTCATTACCATGCAAACAGTATTGGGGAAACCACTCCAGTGATTCAATTATCTCCCACTGGGTTTCTCTCACAACACATGGGAATTATGGGAGCTATAATTCAAGATGAGATTTGGGTGGGGGCACAGCCAAACCATATCATTCTGCATCTGGCCCCTCCCAAATCTCATGTCCTCCCATTTCAAAACCAATCATGCCTTCCCAACAGTCCCCCAAAGTCTTAACTCATTTCAGCATTAACTCAAAAGTTTACAGTTCGAAGTCTCATCTGAGACAAGGCAAGTCCCTTCCACCTATAAGCCTATAAAATCAAAAGTGATGTAGTCACTTCTTAGATACAATAAGGTACAGGCATTGGATAACTACGTGGGAGAAAGTGGCCAAAATGAAGGGGCTAATGGTCCCATGTAAGTCCAAAATCCAGTGAGGCAGCCAAATCTTTTTTTTTTTTTTTTTTTTTAAAGGGAGAGATACTAAAAGTATTTTTTTTTTTTAGATTGATTCTTGCTCTGTTGCCCAGGCTGGAGTGCAGTGGCATGATCTTGGCTCACCAAAAACTCCGCCTCTTGGGTTCAAGCAATTCTCCTGCCTCAGCCTCCCGAGTAGCTAGGACTACAGATGTGTGCCACCATGCCCAGAAAATTTTTGTATTTTTAGTAGAGACGGGGTTTCACTATGTTGTCCAGGCGGTTCTTGAACTCCTGACCTCATGATCTGCCCACCTTGGCCTCCCAAAGTGCTGGAATTACAGGTGTGAGCCACTGTGCCCAGCCACAGTCAAATCTTAATACTCCTTAATGATCTCCTTTGACTCCATATCCCCCATCTAGGTCACATTGATGCAAGAGGTAGGTTCCCATGGTCTTGGGCAGCTCTGCCTCTATAGCTTTGCAAGGTACAACCTTGTTCCTGGCTTCTTTCACAGGCTGGCATTGAGTGTCTATAGCTTTTCCGGGTGCACAGTACAAGCTGTTGGTGGATCTACCTTTCTGGGGTCTGGAGGACAGTGGCCCTCTTGTCACAGCTCCACAAGGCAGTGCCCCAGTGGGGACTCTGTGTGGGGGATTCAACCCCACATTTCCCTTCTGCACTGCCCTAGCAGAGATTCTCCATGTGGGCTCCTCTCCCACAGCAAACTTCTGCCTGGATATCCAGGCATTTTTGTGTATCCTCTAAAATCTAGGTGGAAGTTCCCAAACCTCAATTTCTGATTTCTGTGTATCTACAGGCTCAATACCATGTGGTAGCTGCCAAGGCTTGGGTCTTGCACCCTCTGAAGCCACAGCCTGAGCCATAGCTTGGCCTTTTAGCCATTGGTAGAGCAGCTGGGATGCAGGGCACCAAGTTCCTAGGCTGCACACAGCAGGGAAGCCCTGAGCCCAGGTCATGAAACCATTTTTCCCTCCTAGGCCTCTAGACCTGTGATGGGAGGGGCTGCTGCAGAGGTCTCTGACATGCTCTGGAGGCATTAAAATTTCACTCCTGGTTACTTGTGCAAATTTCTGCAGCCAGCTTGAATTTCTTCCCAGAAAATGGGTTTTTCTTTTCTATCACATTGTCGGGCTGCAAATTTTCCAAACTTTTATGCTTTGTTTCCCTTTTAAAACTGAATGCTTTTAACAGCACTCAAATCGCCTCTTGAATGTTTTACTGCTTAGAAATTTCTTATGCCAGGTACCCTAAAACATCTTCTTCTAGTTCAAATTTCCATAAATCTCTAGGGCAGGGGCAAAATGTCCCCATTCTCTTTGCTAAAACTTAGCAAGAGTCATCTTTATTCCAGTTCCTAACAAGTTCTTCATCTCCATCCGAGACTACCTCAGTCTGGATTTCATTATCCGTATCAGTATCAGTATTTTGGTCAAAGCCATTGAACAAGTCTCTAGGAAGTTCCAAACTTTCCCACATTTTTGTCTTCTTCTGAGCCCTCCAAACTGTTCCAACCTCTGCCTATTACCCAGCTCCAAAGTCACTTCCACATTTTCAGTTATCTTTACAGCAGCACCCCACTCTCAGTACCAATTTACTGTATTAGTCTGTTCTTATCCTGCTATTAAAGACGTACCTAAGACTGGATAATTTATAAAAAGAGGCTTAATGAACTCACGGTTCCATGTGGCTAGGGAGGCCTCACAATTGGCTGAAGGCGAAAGGCATGTCTTATATGGCAGCAGGCAAGACAAAATGAGAGCCAAGCAAAATGGGTTTTCCCCTTGTAAAACCATCAGATATCGTGAGACTTCTTTACTACCACGAGAATAGTATGATTCAATTATCTCCCACTGGTCCTTCCCATAACACATAGGAATTATGGGAGATACCAATTTGAGATGAGATTTGGGTCAGAACACAGCCAGACCATATCAGCATCTGTGTGTGAATTAGAAAAATCTGGGAGAATGCAGCCTAGGGTACTCAGTTTGGCAAAAGACTATGCCAAGGCACATGGTTCATTGACTAAATTGGGGCTGGATTTCAGCTCCCCATTTTCCCCTTAGCCAGTATAATAGTTGGTTAATTAACATGAGTGGCTTAATGCAATAAAGATTTTTTGAGTTTTAGTTTTGATTTTGTTTGTTTTGAGACGGAGTCTTGCTCTGTCACCAGGCTGGAGTGCAGTGGTGCAATCTTGGCTCACTGCAACCTCTGCCTCCTGGGTTCAAGTGATTCCCCTGCCTCAGCCTCCTGAGTAACTGGGTCTGTAGGCATGTGCCACTGTGCCCAGCTAATGTTTTTTTTTGTATTTTAGTAGAGACAGGGTTTCACTATTTGGCCAGGATGGTCTTGATCTCCTGACTTTGTGATCTGCCTGCCTCAGTCTCCCAAAGTGTTGAGATTACAGGCGTGAGCCACCGCATCCGGCTAGTATTAGTTTTTTAAGAGATAGAGTCTTGCTAGTTTGCCCAGGCTGGAGTACAGTGGCTGTTTATAAGTGTGATCATAGCTCACTGCAGTCTCTCACTCCTGGGCTCAAGTGATCCTCTCACCTCAGCCTACTGAGTAGCTGGTACTACAGGCCCATGCCACCAGGCCTGGGCTAAGATTTATTTCTTGCTCATGTCACAGTCCAATGCCTATAGGGTTGCTCTCCTCCTAGTAGATAATTAAGGATCTAGGCTACCTCTATCTTATAATTAACTCTTAACCAAGTTAACCAAGTACTGTTAACCAAGATGAGGAAACACCCTAATTAATTTTTTTTTTAAGTAGAGATGGGGCCTTGCTGTGTTGCCAGGCTGGTCTTGAACTCCTTGCCTCAAGTGATCCTCCTGCCTTGGCCTCCCAAAATGCTGAGATTATATGCATGAGCCACCATGCCCTAACTCAAAAACTATTCTTTTTTTTTTTTTTTTGAGATGTTGTCTTGCTCTGTTGCCCAGGCTGGAATACAGTTATGCGTTTTCAGCTCACTACAGCCTCTGCCTCCTGGGTTCAAGTAATTCTCATGCCTCAGCCACCCAAGTATCTGGGACAGGTATGCCCCACCATGCCCCACTAATTTTTGTATTTTTAGTAGAGGTAGGGTTTTACCATGTTGACCAAGCTGGTCTTGAACTCCTGACCTCAGGTCATCTGCCTACCTTGGCCTCCCCAAGAACTGAGATTACAGGTGTAAGCCATTGTGCCTACCTAAAACTATTTTTTAAAACATACACCTGACCAGGTGTAGTGGCTCATGCCTGTAATCCTAGTACTTTGGAAGGCCAAGGCGGGCAGGATCACCTGAAGTCAGGAGTTCAAGACCAGTCTGGCCAACATGGTGAAACCCCATCTCTACAAAAATACAAAAAAATTAGTCGGGCATGATGGCAGTTGCTTGTAATCCCAGCTACTCAGGAGGCTGAGGTGGGAGAATCGCTTGAACCCGGGAGGTGGCGGTTGTAGTGAGCCGAGATCATGCCACTGCACTCTAGCCTGAGTGACAGAACAAGACTCTGACTCAACAAAACAACAACAACAACAACAAAAATACACACACCCAAGTTGGCAACTACATGTAAAAATGTTCTTATTTCACCTGCATATGACACTAGAGTTCCAGGTTTACTGTGATTAATGCAGAATTTATCCCAGGTCTTTTGGTGAGCGAAGTGGTAAGCTGTGATTAGGAGACAGTCAAGGAAGGATAAAAATTTCCCCACCATAAAATCAAACTATCTGGGTTCAAAC